CTCACATTCATACATACACATATTAGGAACAATTTAGACAGGAGACAACTCACCTCCCAGCATGTCTTTGGAGTGTGGGAGGAAACTGGAGCACCCGGAGGAAACCCACACAGGCACAGGGAGAACATGCAAACGCCAGGCAGGTGGTGCTGTGGCTGTGATTTGAACCAACGACCCGAGTACTGCCAGGTGGAAGTGCTAACCATTCAGCCAGGGGCGGACTGACAACTCATGGGGCCCCCCCGGGCAATAGGGGATCATGGGGCCCCTGTGTCCTTGCCCAAACTCAAAAATGAGCCTATGAGAAAGGTACCAGGGGCATCTCATGGGGCCCCCTACTGACCCAGGGCCCTCAGGCAGTGCCCGAGTTTCCAAACGGTCAGTCCGCCCCTGCATACAGCTACTGTGCTGCCCCGTATCATAGATTGGAATAATGAGTCTGTCATTTCTATGGCTGCCGGGAAGCATTCTTTGTGCAGGACCGCCGCAGGACGCAGCCGGACCGCCAAATAGAACGCCGAAAGAGACGCGCCCAACAAAATATTGAACGCTGAACTCCGGCCACATGGAGACTGTGTTACTCAATAGCCACAAAGGATATATAAATCCGCTTTTGCAAACCCAGATATTACCTTGTAAGGCCTCGGTCACGTTTGCTCTCTGAGGAGCGATCCACATCCGCATCGCTCTTTAGAGAGCATAGGAGAGGCGGTGTATCGGTTCCTCACCGCCTACTTTCACCACTAGAACCCTGGACTTCCACACCGCCGTCGTGGGCATCGAGCGGCTCTGTTCACGTGAATATAATGCCTGCCACGGTTGTAGAATGTATGCCTCTGCAGCTAAAAATGGGGAACGGGGTGGTAAAAACATGACTCAGCTGTAGGGTTTTACCACCACCCCCAGCCACTAGTGTGAATGGGCCCTAAGGGGTCCTTCAGCAGTAAAATCAGGTGGTTGAGTACAGGGACAGGGTTGTCCAGCTCCCAGGGTGAAGATTCAGACTTGCACCCCCCCCCCCCCCCCCCAACACACTGGGAATATAATGCCTGCCATGGTTGTAGAATGTATGCCTCTGCAGCTAAAAAGGGGGAACGGGGTAGTAAAAACATGACTCAGCTGTAGGGTTTTACCACCCCCAGCCACTAGTGTGAATGAGCCCTAAGGGGTCCTTCAGCAGTAAAACCAGGCGGTTGAGTACCGGGACAGGGTTGTCCAGCTCCCAGGGCGAAGATCCAGACTTGCACCCCCCCCCCCCCCAACACAATGGGAATATAATGCCTGCCATGGTTGTAGAATGTATGCCTCTGCAGCTAATAAAGAGGAACAGGGGTGGTAAAAACATGACTCAACCATAGGATTTTACCACCCCCAGCCACTAATATGAATGAGCCCTAAGGGGTCCTTCAGCATTGAAACCAGGTGGTTGAGTACCGGGACAGGGTTGTCCAGCTCCCAGGGCGAAGATCCAGACTTGCACCCCCCCCCCCCCAACACACTTTGAATATAATGCCTGCCATGGTTGTGGCGAGTGTGCACTCAGGCCGCTGCCTCTGCAGCTAATAAAGAAGAACAGGGGTGGTAAAAACATAACTCAACCATAGTGTTTTACCACCCCCAGCCACTAGTGTGAATGAGCCCTAAGGGGTCCTTCAGCAGTAAAACCAGGTGGTTGAGCTGCGGTATTACCAGTACCGGGACAGGGTTGTCCACCTCCCAGAATCCAGACTTGCACCCCCCCCCCTTCCCCCTACACACTGTCAATACATGCGTCTATTCCTCGCCCCTGCACCCGGGGCAGCCCGCCCCTTGTCCCGACCTTAGGTACCGCCACTCCCTGCATCACTACTGGCCAGGGGCGGACTGACAACTCATGGGGCCCCCCGGGCAATAGGGGATCATGGGGCCCCTGTGTCCTTGCCCAAACTCACAAAAGCCTATGAAAAAGGTACCAGGGGCATCTCATGGGGCCCCCTACTGACCCCGGGCCCTCGGGCAGTGCCGACTTTCCAAATGGTCAGTCCGCCCCTGCTACTGGCGGTGCAAATGTCGTGGTCATGGCGATTCGCAGCCACGGCAATACTCAGGAAACGCACGTCACTCACGGCAGGCGGAACGCGAATGCGACTAATGCAGTTCTATGGGGAGACGCGGCAACCGCATGTAACACGCACGAGTCTACGGCAATCACGCTGCGAGGAGGGAACATATCACCGCCTGCCAAACTCCTCTGAAAAGCGTTTCAAATGCGGATCTCTTTTCATAAGAGCGGCAGTCGCTGAACGAGCACTTACATGGGGCAGCCCCTGACGCACCCAGGAGTATTAATGAGGGTTTCAGATGCGATGCAGATTTTTTTGGGGGGAAATGATCGCGTTCGATGCTTTGCGTGCAGCCGTGTCCTAAAGTCGCTGTAAGCCGCGTTACGACGCACTTGTGGGGCAGAAAAAAAAAAAATGAATGACTGCAAAGTATCAACACGCGCGGGACTCTGCAGGCAGCCTTGTAAGGAAACACCCTCACAGCAATGTGTACACCCCCTGCCTGCTCACTATGTAAATCATTTTGAGTGGCGGTGAAAGGTGGTCAGGAGGAGGTAAATACCCGGCCCAACTGCCTATTTTCAATGCTTATGGGCTTGTTCAGGACTCCTGAAAAAGCGATCAGAGCGTGGATCGCTTTTCAGAGGCGTTTGACATGCAGCGATGAGGCATTATGACGCCTCCTCGCTGCCCATTCCAACCTCCTAAGTGCCACACCACCACGCCAAAACCACGCGGTCGTGGGGCGATTGCAGCGCGGCCCCATTCACTTGAATGGTTTGCATTCGGCGAGTGGCAGAACGCAATATGGGGTAGATTTCCTGCAGCAACCACAAAGCATCACGGAAAGTGTACCCCCCCCCCCACGCCACCCAGCTGCTTTCTTTTCAGCTAAAGGGGAGCTAAAATTGTGGCTCGACTGCATGGTTTTACCGCCCTCCCCAACCGCAAGTGTGGACAGGCCCTTCAAGTAGCAGTGACCAGGGGTGGACTGACCATTCGAGCCCTCGGGCAGTGATTTTCGGGGTGTCTGTGAATTCAGTCCTCTGTAGGTCGATCATTTCCATCCAACGATGGGGCGTCCTTACATTCCTCACCCATCCCCCGTCCATGTCAGGATAGAGATCCAGCAGGAGACTCCTCCCCATTGAGATCTGATGGGTTTTCAGAGTCTTCCTTTTGTTTTTTGGAGCCGTGTATAAATGTTTCAACTGTTGTGCTTCTCCTTGTGCCACAGCAAGCTGCCTGGCCCCGCCCTCCTTTCCTGGCCCCGCCCTCCTTTCCTGCCCCCAGTGCCTCAAACATGTAAGAAGGATTCTGTGGCACATGATTGGCTCACAATATGGATTTCAAGCGTGTATGGACGTTTTGGTCATGATGCTCCTCCCAATAACTTTACAAGACTCCTCCCCCCATCACATCAGAGAACCCTCTTCACATCAGAGCCCCACTATTACCACAGAGTCCTATCACAACAAAATCCCTCCCTATACAACAGAGTCCCCCCTCACATCAGAATCTACCCAATACATCAGAGGGTCCATCACATTAGGGTTCCCACACCACCACAATTTCCGCTGATCATGTCAGAGCCCCCCCCCCATACATATCAAAGTCCCCTCCATCACATCAGACGACCCCCCTTCACATTAGAGCCACACCACCACAGAGTCCTATCACATCAGAATCCCCCCTATACAATAGAGGCCCCCATCACTACAGGAGTCCCCCCCAATCACATCAGAGCACCCCCATAACAATAGAGGTCCCTCCCCTCCATACATCAGAAGCTCCCACCACCATAGAGTGCTCTCACATCAGAGTCCCCCTCCTATAAATCTGAGGCCCCCCATCACTACAGAGGTCCTCCATCACATCAGAGCACCACCACAGAGTCCCCCCATAACAATAGAGGCCCCTCCCATCAATACACCAGAAGCTTCTACCACCATAGAGTGCTATCACATCAGAGTCCCCCACTATAAATCTGAAGCCCCCCATCACTACAGAGGTCCCCCCATCATATTAAAGTCCTCCTCATCACATCAGAGCCCCACCACTACAGAGTTCCCCCCCCATATATCAGAGCCCCCCCCATCACATCAGAGCTCCCACACCACCACAAAGTCTTCTGATAACATCACAGCCCCCTCTTCATACCAAAGCCCCCTATACATCAGCTTCTCCCTACTTATAAAAGCCCCCCGTCCCATCAGGATACCCCATGACAGAGTCTGCCCCCCATCCCATCAGAGTCCTCTCATCCATCTCTGATCCAGGTAAACTGGGTCCTTCAACACCTGAGGGGAATACAAGTGGCACCCTAGTTGGGAATCATTTGTGTAGATCACCAGCACAGAGCCCCCCCCTATATAATAAAGGGTCGCCATCACTACAGAGTTCCCCCCATCACATCAGAGCACCATCAAAGAGTCCCCCCATAATAGAGGCCCCTTCCCTCCATACATCAGAAGCTCCCACCACCATAGAGTGCTCTCACATCAGAGTCCCCCCCCCTATAAATCTGAGGTCCTCCCATCACTGCAGAGTTCCCCCCATCATATCAGAGCACCATCAAAGAGTCCCCCCATAACAATAGAGGCCCCACCCCTCCATACATCAGAAGCTCCCACCACAATAGAGTGCTCTCACATCAGAGTCCCCCCCCCTATAAATCTGAGGTCCCTCCATCACTACAGAGGTCCCCCATCACATCAAAGGTTCTCCATCATATTAAAGTTCCTTCCATACATCAGAGCCCCACCACTATAGAGTCCTATCACATCAGAAGCCCCCATCACTACAGAGTCCCCTCCCCCCATACACCAGAATCTCCCCATCACATCAGAGCTCCCACACCACCACAGAGTCTTCTGATCATATCAGAGCCCTCCGTCACCACAAAGGCCCCTATCACATCAGAGTCTCCCCTTCATACCAAAGCCCCCTATACATCAGCTTCTCCCTACTTATAAAAGCCCCCCCCTTCAGGGACGGACTGACCATTTGGAAACTCAGGCACTGCCCGAAGGCCCGGGGTCAGTAGGGGGCCCCATGAGATGCCCCTGGTACCTTTCTCATATGCTTTTTTGAGTTTGGGCAAGGACACAGGGGCCCCATGATCCCCTATTTCCCGGGGGCCCCATGAGTTGTCAGTCCACCCCTGGCCCCCCATCACATCAGGATACCCCATGACAGAGTCCCCCCCATCTCATCAGAGTCCTTCATCCATCTCTGATCCAAGCAAACTGGGTCCTTCAACACCTGAGAGGAATACAAGTGGCACCAGGGGCAGACTGACAACTCATGGGGTCCCCGGGCAGTAGGGGATCATGGGGCCCCTGTGTCCTCGCCCACATCCAAAAAAGCCAAAGAAAGGTACCAGGGGTATCTAATGGGGCCCCTACTGACCCTGGGCCCGAGTGCTCGAATGGTCAGTCTGCCCCTGAGTGGCACCCTAGTTGGGAATCACTTGTGTAAATCACCAGCAAATGAATCGGAAGTTATCCTCTAAAATGTATTTTGCTGAATTATTTCCATTATTTCGTTGAAACATTGTGGAAAATAAAAGACAAAAAAAAAGACAGAATAAATAATCCAGAGACAAATTCCTGGGAGACGACAGAAAAAAGCCAAAAGCAGATCTTCAGCCGTGACAAGCCGACCTCCATAGAGGGAGCACAGCGCTGCCTCGCAGAACGTCAGGAAACTTCTCCAGCAATTAAAACAGTAAATAATGTTTCCTAGAACAGGAATAGATGGTGAACATAACAAGAAATAATACCGCTTGTAACATTGTAACAAATTCCGGTTTCTACAAAGTCTTGTTTTATGAGACTTTTAAAGCCGATTACACTCATCATTATAAATGAATAAAAAAATAAATATAAAAGCAAAAAAAAAAAAAAAAAATGCGTTCAAACAAAAATTACCTCCAGTGCACCTTGGACGGTTTTATTAGCGCAGCGCTTGTAACCATTACAATCCCCTGTAAAATGACATAAAAGCGGCAGAACATTGTAGACTCCACTGTTTATTTGTGTTGCTTTTGATAAACGGGATGTAATCATCTCATTAAAAAACAATAATGCGATATTGCTTCCACTCCTACGGACGCAGGAATTTAATCTATTCATCCAAACATCGAGCGATAAAGAGATTTCCACTGATTGTCCAGAAAACTGACCGGCTTGGCGTGGGAAGGCAAACGTGTCCTTTTACATCTAATGCAGGAATAATATTGGTTTTAGGTTCGGCAGAACATTGGATTAGCGGAGCGACGCTTACTCATACAAGACCATTAAATACCTTCGTTATCTTTCCTTTTGATTGTCTGAGGAAAAAAAAAATCTGCAATAGCTAATTGTGATAAAAAATGATTTTTTTTTACAACTGTTTTATGAAAAAAAACTTAAAGTGTATATTTAATATGATATCTATATAATATTAATAATAATAGTTAAAAAAAAGCTATAAAATGATAATAATAAACATCTATCTAAATAACAATTAAAAATAATACCTACAGAGAAAAAGAAAAAAAAAATTATACACACACACACACACATATATATATATATATATATATACACACATACACAGCATATGGAAAAAAGAAAAAATTATTATATTTATATATATATACAGTCATGGCCGAAATTGTTGGCACCCTTGATATTTCTCCAGGAAATCATGTATTTCTCACGAAACGTATTGCATTAACACATGTTTTGCTATACACATGTTTATTCCCTTTGTGTGTATTGGGACAAAACAAAAAAAGGGAGGAAAGAAAGCAAATTCGACATAATGTCACACAAACCTCCAAAAATGGGCTGGACAAAAGTATTGGCACCCTTTCACAACTGCGGATAAATAAGAATGTTACAAGCATGTGATGCTCCTGTAAACTCACCTGGGGCAAGTAACAGGTGTGGGCAATATAGAAATCACACCTGAAAGCAGATAAAAAGGAGAGACGTTCACTTAACCTTTGCATTGTGTGTCTGTCTGTGCCACACTAAGCATGGACAACAGAAAGAGGAGACGAGAACTGTCTGAGGACCTGAGAACCAAAATTGTGGCAAAATATCAACAATCTCAAGGTTACAAGTCCATCTCCAGAGAACTAGATTTGCCTTTGTCCACAGTGCGCAACATTATCAAGAAGTTTGCAACCCATGGCACTGTAGCTAATCTCCCTGGTCGTGGACGGATGAGGAAAATTGATGAAAGATTGCAACGCAGAATAGTCCGGATAGTGGATAAGCAGCCCCAAACATGTTCCAAAGACATTCAAGCTGTCCTGCAGGCTCAGGGAGCATCAGTGTCAGCGCGAACTATCCGTCGACATTTAAATGAAATGAAACGCTATGGCAGGAGACCCAGGAGGACCCCACTGCTGACACAGAGACATAAAAAAGCAAGACTACAGTTTGCCAAAATGTACTTGAGTAAGCCAAAAGCCTTCTGGGAAAACGTCTTGTGGACAGATGAGACCAAGATAGAGCTTTTCGGTAAAGCACATCATTCTACTGTTTACCGAAAACGGAATGAGGCCTACAAAGAACAAAACACAGTACCTACGGTAAAATATGGTGGAGGTTCAATGATGTTTTGGGGTTGTTTTGCTGCCTCTGGCACTGGGTGCCCTTGACTGTGTGCAAGGCATCATGAAATCTGAGGATTACCAAAGGATTTTGGGTCGCACTGTAGGGCCCAGTGTCAGAAAGCTGGGTTTGCGTCCAAGATCCTGGGTCTTCCAGCAGGACAATGACCCCAAACATACGTCAAAAAGCACTCAGAAATGGATGGCAAAGAAGCGCTGGAGAGTTCTGAAGTGGCCAGCAATGAGCCCAGATCTAAATCCCATTGAACACCTGTGGAGAGATCTTAAAATTGCTGTTGGGAAAAGGTGTCCTTCCAATAAGAGAGACCTGGAGCTGTTTGCAAAGGAAGAGTGGTCCAAAATTCCGGGTGAGAGGTGTCAGAAGCTTATTGATGGTTATAGGAAGCGACTGATTTCAGTTATGTTTTCCAAAGGGTGTGCAACCAAATATTAAGTTAAGGGTGCCAATACTTTTGTCCAGCCCATTTTTGGGGTTTTGTGTGACATTATGTCATATTTGCTTTTCTGCCTCTGTTTTATATTTGTTCCAATACATACAAAGGGAATAAACATGTGTATAGCAAAACATGTGTTAATGCAATACCTTTTTTGTGTGAAATACTTGATTTTCAGGAAAAATATCAAGGGTGCCAACAATTTCGGCCATGACTATATTACATACATACAGTGAGGAACAGAATTATTTGAACCCCCTGCGATTTTGCAAGTTCTCCCACTTAGAAATCATGGAGGGCTCTGAAATTCACATTGTAGGTACATTCCCACTCTGAGAGACAGAATTTAAAAAAAAAATTCAGGAAATCGCATATGTGTGATTTTTAAAGAATTTATTTGTCTTGCACTGCTGAACATACAGGTGAAACAAAAAATGAGAATCTGGTGCATTCATTCATTTATTTCAGTGCAGCAACTTAAAAGGTGAAACTAATATATGAGACTCATTACATGCAAAGCAAGATAGTTCCAGCCGTGATTTGTCATCATTGTGATGATTATGGCTTACAGCTCATGAAAACCCCAAATTCACAATCTCTCAGAAAATGAGAATATTGTGAAAAGGTGGAATAATCTCGGCTCAAAGTGTCCCACTCTAATCAGCTCATTCAGCCATAACACCTGCAAAGGGTTACTGAGCCTTTAAATCAGTGTTTCTCAACTCCAGTCCTCATGGACCCCCAACAGGTCATGTTTTCAGGATTTCCATTATTTTGCACAGGTGATTTGATCAGTTTCACTGCCTTAGTAATTACCACAGCTGTTTCATCTGAGGGAAATCCTGAAAACATGACCTGTTGGGGGTCCATGAGGACTGGAGTTGAGAAACACTGCTTTAAATGGTCTCTCAGTCTGGTTCAGTAGGAATCACAATCATGGGAAAGACTGCTGACCTGACACCATCACTGACACCCTCCATAAGGAGGGAAAGCCTCAAAAGGGAATTGCAGAAGAAGTTGGATGTTCCCAAAGTGCTGTATCAAAGCACATTAATAGAAAGTTATGTGGAAGGGAAAAGTGTGGAAGAAAAAAGTGCACAAGCAGCAGGGATGACTGCAGCCTGGAGAGGATTGTCAGGAAAAGGCCATTCAAAAGTGTTGGGGACTTTCACAAGGAGTGGACTGAGGCTGGAGTCAGTGCATCAAGAGCCACCACACACAGACGGATCCTGGACATGGGCTTCAAATGTCATATTCCTCTTGTCAAGCCGCTCCTGAACAACAAACAACGTCAGAAGCGTCTTACCTGGGCTAAAGAAAAACAGACCTGGTCTGGTGCTCAGTGGTCCAAAGTCCTCTTTTCTGATGAGAGCAACTTTTGCATCTCATTTGGAAACTAAGGACCCCGAGTATGGAGGAAGAATGGAGAGGCCCAAGGACCCCGAGTATGGAGGAAGAATGGAGAGGCCCAAGGACCCCGAGTATGGAGGAAGAATGGAGAGGCCTAAGGACCCCGAGTATGGAGGAAGAATGGAGAGGCCTAAGGACCCCGAGTATGGAGGAAGAATGGAGAGGCACAAGGATCCCGAGTATGGAGGAAGAATGGAGAGGCACAAGGACCCAGAGTATGGAGGAAGAATGGAGAGGCCCAAGGACCCCGAGTATGGAGGAAGAATGGAGAGGCCCAAGGACCCCGAGTATGGAGGAAGAATGGAGAGGCCCAAGGACCCCGAGTATGGAGGAAGAATGGAGAGGCCCAAGGACCCCGAGTATGGAGGAAGAATGGAGAGGCCCAAGGACCCCGAGTATGCCCACACTGCCAAAAGCACCAAAACCTGGTTCAATGACCGTGGGATTACTGTGCTTGATTGGCCAGCAAACTCGCCTGACCTGAACCTCATAGAGAATCTATGGGGCATTGGCAAGAGAAAGATGAGAGACATGAGACCGAACAATGCAGAAGAGCTGAAGGCCGCTATTGAAGCATCCTGGTCTTCCATAACACCTCAGCAGTGCCACAGGCTGATAGCTTCCATGCCACGCCGCATTGAGGCAGTAATTGCTGTAAAAGGGGCCCAAACCAAG